TGTGTCATAGCAAGCGTCCACGAAACGCTCGTTCTCAGAAGTCTGGAGCAAACGCCACAGTTAGAACAACAACCACCCGCAATCTTTGCAACCGCACACCTTCAAGACGGATGCGCGCGGTGCTACGGCGATAACCCTAGATGAACAAGGAGCGGCCCTCCATCCTTGAAGCTGTTGGAAACGACTAGGACGAATGCGCGCTGCGCTAAGGCGAAAACACATTTTGACTGTGTCCCTCATCGTTGATATCGTTACGCCGTTGCAGAGTTGTAGGCGAATTAGCGCGGCGCCAAAGCGAGAAATCCAGTTTGAGACTGCTGGAAATGTTACGCTTCCTGGGCATACATGGTGAGGGGGTGACAGGCGAATCGCCCAGCCTGCCCTACCGACATGCCTGGGGGTGCGACAGGGAGGATCTCTTCCTTCCCACATCAGTGCCTGCAGCTAGGGTCGAGGAACTGAGCCTGCGCGTTGATTCAGCAGGTATTTCGCCACCCGTCGCCGCCGCTCGCTGGGCCTGTGCGTTGGTCTGGCCGGCACGTAGCCGCCGTCCGCCCGCCTGGGCTTGTGCATAGATATCACCACGCAGATTGCACCACGCAGACTGCGCCGCATAGAACTTCAACCTTAACAGAAAGGAATTCGGATCTACCCCCCCCCAGGAATATCCGCCAGCCAATTGGTATTGAAATCTTCATGCAAGTCTGCCCATCGTCCATCTTTAATATGCACTCATGCCATCCTAGCCCAATCGGTATCGACCCCCACTCCCAGCCATATTATGCGCGCGCGCTCGTTTGTCAAGAATCCGCAACTGTCAAGAATCCTTTGCCAAACGTGGGACGAAGTGCGCACGCTCGCGTCGTTGCGCGCGCGCATGCCGAAATCCTTCAATTCTCGTGGTTTTCGCAAGGATTTTTACATCAAATGCCCCGAACAAATATAACACACACGTACATCGTTTTGCAACTTCACTTTTGTTTAAGAAGGTCTACGCGGTCATTCACGTGGTTTACGTGCCCATTCATTGTCCTGTTCTGAGTTTCCGTGGTCATTCACCGATCTCGGTCTCATATAGTTGTATAGCTGTGCAGTTTTACCAGAGTCCTGTTTCCAGGAGTGCGCGCAACGGCTCTCCTATCGCAGGTTGGCCTCAGCGTTGCTGCAGGTGTTTCGGTTTGCTCCTCTGCCTCTCCCCACCCTCTTCCTCCGCCTCCTCCTCCTCCTCCCTGTTAGTGGTGACGTCTGACTGGCCGACCATTTCAAGTTATTTAATCGCTTCGCTTATTCCGCCGGCCCTGGAGCGCTATTTGGGGCCTCTTGGAGCCGTCTTGGGGGCCTCTTGGGGGCTTCTTGGGAGCGTCTTGGGGCTCCTTGGCGGCGTCTTGGGCTCCCCTGGGGCCTCTTAGGGGGCTCTTGGGGGCCCCTTGGGGCGGGAGGGGGGTAGTCGATTGCAGCCACCCCCTCGGAGGCCACGATCCTCGTGAGGGGTGGCGAAAAATAGCCTCCCCCCTGGGGATCGCCCAGGACCCGGCCGGGACCCGGCCGGGGGTCAGCCGGGTTTTTTTCGTCCGGGGCCCCCCAGGGGCCGCCCCGCGCGCGCGAACTAGAAGTATTGTTAAGTAGTCACCAGAGATCTTGGCACGCCTCTGGTCCGTTGGGCCGGCGAATTGCCGCTATCGAGCTCAAGCCAGCCGATGGGTGCGATTATGGCCCCCATGAGGGGAAGCGGATTTGATGCTGGGCGAGCATCGTATGTTTATGTTCTGCTGTCGCGTTCATGAGAAGAAACAAATCCAAAACAGGTCTGCGCGCGCGCTCCTACGAAGTCTCAAGAAAGCCTGGTTGTTCAACATGTTCATAAATTTCAACCAAACGGACCTCTCCCGCAAGCATGTCGAGATCATTCGAATGCCCTTGCGCGTGTACTGGGGGGGGAGGGGCGCGATCCCTTGCGAATAATTCCGCGCGGCCACTCGTGCGCGTCGGCCGCGCGCAAAACCTTCATCGCAATCGCCGTCGCATGCGTTGTGCAAACCAAGTTGCGGGTGGGTGGGTGGGACGTTTACGCGAGCAGTGGAGTTGACAAGTTCAAACTCGGTAGTGTGAATTGCGCCATATAGATTTCGCCACACAGTATGCCCTTCATAGATTGCACCACGTAGTTCGCACCACAAAGACTGCACCACGTCGATAGCACAGCAACGCTCACACTCCATATAAAGTGCATAACGTATATGGCACCACATAGCTTCCACCACGTAGATTGCACCACATAGGGCGCACCACATCGTTTACTAGAGTTGCTGGGGTCCACGATGTTTAGCGTAAAAAAACACATGGGGGAATTGGAGGTGGAGGTGGAGGAGGAGGAGGAGGAGGACGGCAATGGGGGAGGGAGGGCGGGAAGAGGAGGCGGAGGAGGCGGAGGAGGAGGAGGACCAGTGTAAACCCAAGAGTCGTCAACGATGTTGGAGTAAGCCCTCCCTCCAAGCTCCCTCCTCACAGGCCCCTACAACGATGGAACTGCCTCGTTGGAAGACACCCGTTTGAAGACCCTGGAGCATGCCAAAACATTGTTCTCGGGATTCCAACGCCATGGATCAACCTGAGTGTTGCGTCTTGACGATCATGAATCGCGCCAGATCGCCACTCTTAGGACTTCAACACACATAATCAACGTAACTGTTGCACACGCGTAATCCTGCATCCTTGCAAACCACAGTTATGGTACGTTTATGATGTGAACCGGTGAAGCTTGCGAGAATGTTGTAAAAAGGAATGTGCGCGGCGCTGAGGCTAAAACCACATTTTGAAAAGAAACCGCCCTCTATCCGTGAAGCTCTTGCGAATTTGTGCAACGAATGTGCGCCGCGTCACGGCGAGAGCTACATTTTGAAAACGACCCGCCCTCAATCCGTGAAGTTCGTGCAAGTTTTTAAAACGAATGTGCGCTGCGCTAGAAATTTTGAAAACGACCCGCCCTCAATCTGTGAAGCTGTTGCAAATTTGTAAAACGAATGTGCGCCGCATTAAGGCGAGAGCCACATTTTGAAAACGACCCGCCCTCAATCCGTGAAGCTCTAAGTTCTTGAAACGAATGTGCGCCGCGCTAGAAGGTCAGAGCCACATTTTGAAAACGACCCGCCCTCAATCCGTGAAGCTCTTGCAAATTTGTAAAACGAATGTGCGCCGCGCTAAGGCGACAGCTACAGTTTGAAAACCACCCGCCCTCAATCCGTGAAGCTCTTGCAACTGTTAAAAAACGAATGTGCGCCGCGCTAAGGCGAGAGCCACAGTTTGAAAACGACCCCCCCTCCATCTGCGAATCTGTTGCCAGTTTCAAAGCTTCAGAGTCATCATTGGTGAGGAAGTCTCAGGCGAAACGCTTGGCCCATCCTAAAATCTGGCCTCGGGGCGCGACAGGGAAAAGTTACTTATAAGGAAAAGGAAGAGGAGGAGGAGGAGGAGGAGGAGGAGGAGGAGGAGGAGGAGGAGGAGGAGGAGGAGGAGGAGGAGGACGTCTGCGGCGGCGGCCACGCCGACAACGCCGCCGCAGGGAGGAGTGGAGCCGAGCGGGGCGCCGGAGGGCCACAGCGGAGCAGAGCGGATCAGGGCGGAGCGGAGCGGAACGAGGCGTGCGCGCGCGGAGAGCAGGCGCCCCCCTCCTCGGCGCGGCGGTGACAGCTCGGCGGCCGGCCGTGCGGGCGCGCGGGGCGGGGGCGGGCGTTTCGGCCGGCGAGGCTCTCCGGGCGGGTGTTTTTCTTATGCCCTGATGTTTTGCTCATATTATTTTCGATGTGTTGTTGTAGTTGATTTGCTCTTCCAGTTTTTGATGCCAGATTCCCAAGTGTTGCCGATGCTCGATGTTGTCAGTGTTCTTGGCGTTAGGTTTTTTCGAGTGTTTAGTGTTTGTTCGACCTGTTGCGGGGCGGACGCAAGGCCAGGGGGTCGGAGATCGGGGCGCCCAAGAGGAGGGGGACTTCCCGGCCCCTCCCTCGCCCACGCACATGCCTCGTGGCCTGATGAGCTAACCCTCCTCTTCCAGCCCCCCTCTTCGGCGCACCTGGGAAAAGGGGAGGTCCAAAATCTGCCGCATGCAGCCCGCTTCGGCACCGCCGCCCAGTGCGCGTTTTGGTGTTGTGCGCCGTTGGCGGCGATGCCGGCGGCATGCAGCTGATTCCCTACCGCCCATTCGCTATCCCCCCTCCCTGTTCGTCCGCCCCGAGGCCCGAGGCTCGCAGTGGCGCGGCACGCGTGCGGCGCGGCCTCCCCTTCTTAGACCAGCCGCGGGAGAAAAGGTCTCCTCCTCCTCCTCCTCCTCCTCCTCCTCCTCCTCCTCCTCCTCTAATGGTGTCGCTTCCTCCTCGTCGTGCCCCCCGCCCTGCTGCGCATTGTTTCCCATGCGTTGCCGTGCGCGATTGGAGCATCTGGAGCGTCAACTCCACAATGGTGTCGATGTCGCAATGCATGCCATGCTTCAACGTGGAAGCGTTCTCGGATAAGTACGTCTTTACGTTCCATCCTGGTAGGGCTACTTCGCTTCTTCGGCCAAGCACGGATGCCGTACTACGTGCTCTGCTGGTTTGGGAACCTAGGCAGTGCAGCAGTGACGATCGTCATCGGCATTGCCGCTCAGGCATCGATCAGCTCACGGTCTGTTGTCAGCCCGCGCGTATGCGTGGCCCTTCTGAAATGGGCGCTCGCTTGTGGAGGGGACGACACTGGCGGAGGGAGTGGGAGAGGCCGTGATCGTTGTTTGTGCTCTGGTTTCTGGCGGCGATCGACGAGGGTGCCCCAGGGCGCGAAGAACACAGAACGCACACCGTCGAAGGGCGTGCGGCGCTCCGCCCCTGGCGGCCTGCCGCGGGCGCGCCGGACGTCCGCCGCCCCCCCCCGACCCCCCCCCCCACGCGACGCGCCCACCCCTCCGCGACTAGCGGCCCCGCGCTTTGTGCCCCGCGACCGTGCTCCCGCGCCGCCGCGCGCGCGCCGTTGGGCCAGGCTTGCAGGGGTTCGCGGCGGGGCTCGCTGTGGGGCCGCGCCGCGCGGCGGACGCGGGGCGGGGCCGTCGCGATGTGCGCCGCGGTGGCTGCTGTGGAGGCTCGCCAGCCTCCCCCCGCGTCGGAGCTCGAGGCCGTCGAGCTGCGAGGATCGAAGTTCTTGGATGATCTTTGGCCTTCCTCGTCGCCACGGCTGGGTGCGCCTCGGCGTGGCTTGCTCTTGGAACGTTGAGTGTTCTTGCGCCGCGAATCCAGACCCCCTCGCGCCGTCGAGGAAGCGCGACGGAAATTCGGTGGTAGTTTTCGACTTCTGATGCCCCTTGCCAGGCGCCAGGAAATTCAACAGACGATGCAGGATGAAAAACCAGTCCCTGGAAAGGAGTCGAGGCCTCCAGGTTTCCACGTTACGAACTACGACGTCGGAGGTCTTGGGCTCACGCCCGAGCGCAACTTCTGGAGTCCAGGCCCCCGTTGTCGCACCGGCAGGGCGCGGCTCGAAAAGCCGGTCAGGATGGACCCCAGGAGGGACCTGGGGATCGGTATTGAAAGGATGTTCGCTGGTCCAGCGGCGATGGGGACCAGAGGAATCAGACGGGGTCGTAGGATTGCGCTGCACCGCCGATTCATCGGCGATGCGGCGGAATCCTCAGCCGCAGCCATCTGACGAAAACGAGGAAGTTCGCCGCGGGCCTGCCCGACAGCGTCCCTTGGACGCCGAAATCGAGGAACTTCGCCGCGATTGAAAAATACAACCCGCTGGAGGTCTATGGTTCCATTGAGAAGTGCTCAGAAATCCGTCTTCCGGCGCCCTCCGGTGTGGAAGCCCTGTTTAGGCGCGATGGGTGGCGTTCGCTTGCCTCCGCACGGCCGTATGTTTCTGGCGACGAGGTTGTCGGTGGCCACCACGGGGCGGGTTCGATGAGAGTGGTGACCATTAGGATGAAAGCGCTGAAAATTAGCAGCCGCGGCGCGCGCGTACGCGCGAGTGCCACTGCCTTGTTCCATTGGCATTGGTGCGCCAGTATCACTGTCGCTGGTGCCGCTTGCACCGTATGGTCTTTGTGCGAAATGAAGCCAGCAGTGGGAAGGTGAGTTGGCAAACGCTGATTTGCGAAGGCGAAGCAAATATAGCTCCGCGTGCCCTCCTGCTTCAATCCGTATTCCTTGCTTCCCCTCCTGCCCTTGCGTAGCGCCTAGCATGCTGCAGCAAGTTGGGGTTACACTGGGGACTGCTTGTGCCGCCCACCCGCCCCTTGAGCGCCAGCGTCACTGTCGCCGCTGCCGCGTGCACCGTGCTTTCTGCGCAAGCAATCCACCAACAAATCGGAACGGGGAGCGGACTAAGTGAACAAAGAAACGTCGAAGTGCCTCCATCTCGATCGCTGATCGAGGTGCTTGGCGCAGCGCGTGGGCATCCTCGGAGGTGCGGGGCCTGGGCTTATCCTGCAAACCCCGACTATCTGGAGCCCCGCGTTCAATTTGGCGGCCTATACTCAGGAGGGGACGGAGCCCCGCGTTCAGTTCGGCGGCTTGTAATCAGGAGGGGAAAGTAAACACAGACACACATCTAATTCGATTCCCATGAACATTTGTGAAATCAGCCTGTCGGAGGACCGAACCATTCGCAGATGTGAGTGCCGCAAGTGTGGATATCGTCTTCGGTGGCGCTCTGTATGTGGCCACGAACCGTGTGGGGGGCGTGCCGAAAATGAGTGATGGGGGCGCATGGGAACGTCGTCAGTGGGGCCTTCGGTGGAGCTCCCCGAACCGCGTGAGGGGGGTGCCAAAATGGATGGCGGGGACGCATGGGAACGTCGCCACTGGAACCTTGGGTGGTGTTCCCTACGGGGCCACGAGCCGTGTGATGGCTGTGCCAGAATGGATGGCGGGGACGCATGGGAACGTCGCCACTGGAGCATTCGGTGGAGCTCCCTATGGTGTCACGAAACCTGTCACGGGTGTACCAAAAAGTGTGGCGGGGACGCATGGGAGCGTCGCCACTGGGGCCTTAGGTGGAGCTTCCTATGAGGCCAGCGCTTCGTGGCCCCTAGGGAGCTCCACCGAATGCCCCAGTTGGGGTGCCCGCATGCGTCCGCCACACCCAGTACAGCGTTTGACGGCCCTTTAGGAAGCCCCACCGAAGGACCCCAGTGGGGGTGCCCGCATGCGTCCGCCGCACCCAGTACAGCGTTTCGTGGCTCCATAGGGAGCTTCACCGAATGCCCCAGTGAGGGTGCCCGCATGCGTCCGCCACACCCAGTGCAGCGCTTCGTGGCCCACTAGGGAGCTCCACCGAATGCCCCAGTGGGTGTGCCCACATGCGTCCGCCAGGGCCAGTACAGCGTTTCGTGGCCCTGTAGTGAGCTCCACCGGAGGCTCCAGTGGGGGTGCCCACATGCGTCCGCCACACCCAGTACAGCGTTTCGTGCCCCTCCAGGGAGCTTCACCGATTGCCCCAGTGGGGGTGCCCGCATGCGTCCGCCATACGCAGTACAGCGTTTCGGTGCCCCTTAGGGAGCTCCACCGAATGCCCCAGTGGGGGTGCCCGCATTCGTCCGCCACACAGCGTTTGACGGCCCCTTAGGAAGCCCCACCGAAGACCCCAGTGGGGGTGCCCGCATGCGCCCGCCACACCCAGTACAGACTTAGGAAGCCGCACCGAAGACCCCAGTGGGGATGCCCGCATGCGTCCGCCGCACCCAGTACAGCGTTTCGTGGCCCCATAGTGAGTTTCACCAAATGCCCCAGTGGGGGTGCCCGCATGCGTCCGCACACCCAGTACAGCGTTTGACGATCCCTCAGGACGCCCCACTGAAGATCCCAGTGGGGGTGCCCGCATGCGTCCCCCGCACCCAGTACAGCGTTTCGTGGCCCCATAGTGAGCTTCACCGATTGCCCCAGTGGGGGTGCCCGCATGCGTCCGCCACACCCAGTGCAGCGCTTCGTGGCCCACTAGGGAGCTCCACCGAAGGCCCCAGTGGGGGTGCCCGCATGCGTCCGCCAGGGCCAGTACAGCGTTTCGTGGCCCTGTAGTGAGCTCCACCGGAGGCTCCAGTGGGGGTGCCCACATGCGTCCGCCATACGCAGTACAGCGTTTCGGTGCCCCTCCAGGGAGCTCCACAGAAGGCCCCAGTTCGGGCGCCCACATGCGTCCGCCATACGCAGTACAGCGTTTCGGTGCCCCTCCAGGGAGCTCCACCGAATGCCCCAGTGGGGGTGCCCGCATTCGTCCGCCACACCCAGTACATTGTTTCGTGGACTCATAGGGAGCTCCACCTACAGCGGGTGCGGCCACATGCGTCCGCCCGACCCATGTCGGCACGTTCTTCAGATGTTTCGTGCCCCGTAGGGAGCTCCACCTAAGGCCCCAGTGGCGACGTTCGCATGCGTCCGACCGAGTCATGTCGGCACACCCCTCGCACTCTTCGTAGCCCCATAGGGATCTCCATTGAAGGTCCCATCGGCGACGTTCGCATGCGCACCCCACCCCCCCGCTCATTTCGTTCGGCACATCCTCGCGCGCTTCGTGGCCCATGGAGAGCTCCACCGAATTTTCGCATACGTCCCATCCATTCGTCCCCCTCCCTGCCCGCGCTGCCCCGCGCCTCGTTCTTCTTGCGACGCACTGCCTATGATAGCAGACGGTTTACCGCTTGCGCTATTCGGAGTTTGCGTGCCCGCGGTTCTCGCAGCTGCATATGGTTGGGTCTTTCGCCAGGCTAATGTTGTACAGGGATGGTGGGGGGTGCCCTCATTGGTCCTGATTAGCTGCCGGTCGCCTGGGGGAGGGGGTGTTATTTTCTAGGGACCAGTGATAACCCCTCCCCGAAGGGGAAGAACGTGGTTTGAAGAGGAAAGTTGTAAAACCTCAGAACGCCCTAATTCAAGGGCTGGGGGGATTTGAGAATCTGTTCGAACAACTCATGCCCACTGCTGTCTTCTTGGCTGCCGGAGCCCCCTGCTGAGCACGGCGCTTTAGTGACCATCCCTTCAGTGCTGGGGGACGCAAGGACAGGAATATAGGGTACGAGGCTGCTTCACACAACATGTTCAAAGAAAGGGTAACAACAAATGCCCCTGGAACGTGTTGCGTGACATGGTCAAGGAGATACGGTAACTAAGTCATCACATTGCTGCCCACACTGCTTGCACACCAAATCGTCTGGCACATTGATGTCCGTAGTAAGTGTGCTCCCGTTCCCCATGCAGACTTGCTATTTGAGAGAAACTACGATGTGCCGACGTACAATAACGCGGGTATGGAAGGAACACCTGCACCAAGGGCGGTTCGTCACAGTGGCAGCATCTGCGTATTGAAGTTCACCATGTTCCCTTCCTTTCGTCATCTGGAGGTGGATGATAAGCTGCTTTTTGGACGGGACCTAGGCTCTGCATATTGCCCCCCCAGTCGACCGAAGGGTGCAGAGTTAAGGTAATTCCTCCTCTTCCGGCGATCAAATGACGAGCAGGAGGAGGACGACGACGACGAAGAGGAGGACAAGGAGGTCGGGGTCCGCCTTGAAGAGTGAAGGGGAAACCCTGGAATCGTCGAACGCGAACGCGGAGGACTCCCCCCACGCGACGCCAGCGACGGCGACGGCGACGATGACGACGGAAGACAACAGCGACGACGACCATGGCGACGATGGCCAACGTCGGCGGACGACGGCCGTAGCCGCGCACTATGACGACGACGATGACGGCGATGGCGATGGCGAGGACGGCGACGATGACGGAAGACGATGACGGCGACGGCAAACGACGGCGGACGACGGACGACTGTCGTTTAGGGACGCGCGTGGAGGACGCCCTCCGCATCACGGCGATGACGACAGCGGCGATGGCGACGGTGCCTTCGCGCGCTCGCGCGGAAGGCGCCGCTGACCCGCCACCGGTCCGTTGATCGATCGTCGTCCCTCGCAGTCCGTCGTCCGCCAGTTTCGTTCGCCATCGCCGTCGTGTTGTTGTCCGTTGCCGTCGCCGTTGCCGTCAGCTGTCGCTCGTCGTCCAACGTCGTTCATCGTCGCCCGTCGTCGTCGTCGTCGCTCTTCGTCGCCGCCCGTCGTCGTCGCCGCTCGTCGTCGTCGCCGCTCGTCGTCGTCGTCGCCGCTCGTCGTCGTCGCCGCTGCCGTGGAAACCGCCATTTGTCATCGCTGTTTTGGTCGTCGCCCGTCGTCGTTCGCCATCGCCCTCGATGTCGTCTTCCGCCGTCGTCGCCGTCGTCGTCGTCGTCGCCGTCGTCGTCGTCGTCGTCGTCGTTCCGTCGTCGGTCCGTCGTCGGCCGTCGTCGTTGCCGCCGCTGTCGTTCGTCGTCGTCCGTGCGCGCACGCGAGCGCGCGCGGGCGCCCGCCAGAGGCAGAGGCCGCGCAGAAGCTGTGCGCGCAGCAGGCGCGCCGCCTGCTGGGGCCGTCCAGGCCAGACCGCGGGGCGACCGCGCGGAGGCCCGACGCCAAAAGCTGTCGACCGCTGGCCGCCCGCCGCGCCGCCAGCCAACCGTTGTCCCGCCGCCGCCGCTGGGCGTTGTGGCGCCGCCAGCGCCGTTGGGTGTTGGCGCGGTGGTGGCGGCTGCAGCGGCCATTGACGCCACGACCACGACGACCACGACCAGGACCACGATGTCGGCGCCGACGACGCTCACTACCGCGACAACCACGACGACCACTACCACGACCTCCACGACCACGACCACGACCACGACCACGACCACGACACGACACGACCGCGACTGCGACCACCACGACGACGCGACGACCACGACCACGACCACGACGACGACCATCTCGATGCTGCCGACGGCGCCGCGGACCGCGGCGGCCCCCGTGCGCCCGCAGGTGTGCCGACGGCGGGCCCGTGCCAGCACTTCGCCGGGCGCACCGGCGGCGCGTCTGGGCGCGCGCCCGCCCCGCGGCGCCGCGCGCCTGGGGGCGGGGGAAAGGGGGGAAAGGGGGGGGAGGGGGGCGACGACGGCTTCGTCGTCGTCGTCGTCGTTCTCGCTGGCGTCGGCGACGGCGTTGGCGTCGGCTCGGCGTCGTTGTCGGCGCGGCGTCGTCGTCGTCGGTCGCGGCGGCGGCGTCGGCGTCGTCACCATCGTCGTCGTCGGCGTCGCCGCCGCCGTCGTCGTCGTCGTCGTCGTCGTCGTCGTCGTCGTCGTCGGCGTCGTCGTCGTCGTCGTCGTCAGCATCGGCGTCGGCGTCGGTGTCGGCGACTGCGTCGGTGTCGGCGTCGGTATCGGTGTCGGTGTCGGCGCCAGGCGTCGTCTTTGTCAGCATCGGGGTCGGCGTCGACGATGGCGTCGGCTTTGTTGTCGGCGTCGTCGTCGGCCTTGTGCTCGGCGTCGTGCTCGGCGTGGTCGGTGTTGGCGTCGGCGTCGGCGTCGGCGTCGTCGGCACTGTGCTCGGCGTCGTGCTCGGCGTCGTCGTCATCGTCGGCGTCGTCGTCGGCGTCGGCGTCGGCGCCGGCGTCGGCGTCGTTCGTAGGCGTCGTTGGCGTCGTGCTCGGCGTCGTGCTCGGCGTCGTGCTCGGTGTCGTGCTCGGCTTCGTCGTCGTCGTTGTCGTCGTCGCTGGCGTCGGCGTCGGTGTCGGCGTCGTGCTCGGCGTCGTCGTCGCCGGTTGCTTCGGCATCGGTGTCGTCGTCAGTGTCGTAGTCGCCGACGTTTGCGTCGGCGTCGTGTTCGGCGTCGTGCTCGGCGTCGTGCTCTTCGTCGGCGTCGGCGTCGTGCTCGTTGTTGGCGTCGTGCTCGGCGTTGTGCTCGGCGTCGTGCTCGGCGTCGGCGCTGGCGCTGGCGTGGTCGTCGCTGTCAGCGTCGGCGTCGTTGACGTCGTGCTCGGCGTCGTGCTCGGCGCCGTCGTCGTCGTCGTCGTCGTCGTCGTCGTCGTCGTCGTCGTCGTCGTCGTCGTCGTCGTCGTCGTCGTAGTCGTAGTCGTAGTCGTCGTCGTGCTTGTCGTCGTCGTCGCCGTCTTCTTCATGGTCCTCGTCGCCGTCTTCGTCGTCTTCTCCCCTCGAAATCGCCCCCTGAACCTGTCCTCGATAGCGTCTTTGGCAGGATTTCGAGGGGGTCTGGCCGTAGCAAATGAGGGCCTTTCAGTGGGGCTCAAATGCCTTCCAGGGTGCCAAGGAATCCCAAAGCTCCTTAGAGCGGGCGCCTCGGCTGTTGGCGTCTTGGATAGTCGTTTGCCCCACGTGTGGCATGTCACCTCTGTCAGTGAAGGATTACGCAGTGTCGAGGGCCTGGGACCACACCCTGTGAACCCGATGTCGATCCAATATATGCTTTGTTGCTTCGTTTGTCGTTTGATACTGGGTCTCGTCCGAGCTGAGCTGAAACCACGCACCATTATCCGAAAAACCTGGACAACGATTGAGATCCCCAAGCAGTTCCGGACTTCCAGGGCTTGTTAGCGTGGCCTCGGCAGATGTGATCGGAGAATCGCATCGCAAATGCCAGAGCCCGATATGCTCAATTCCGACGTTGCCAATGCATCAGTGATACTGTGCGGCTGGTGTGGCCCTGGTTCCAAACCACTTTGCGTCCTTTCCAGATGGACGTTTCTGTTTTTTGCAAGCGTGCACTTAGGGTACTTACTTATGGTATAAGGAACTGGCCCGTGTTTTCGGTCTGGCGGCTATGTGGCCGCCGTCGCCGCCCCGCCGCCCCCCTTGTCGGCGCCCGCCGTCTGGGCAGCGTCTTCGGTCTGGCGGCTATGTGGCCGCCGTCGCCGCCCCGTCGCCCCTTCGTCGCTGCCTGTCGTCTGGGCCGTGTCTTCGGTCTGGCGGCTATGTGGCCGCCGTCACCGCCCCGTCGCTTATTCGTTGCCTCCCTAGAATACACAACCTAGATAGCGCACCACATAGATGGCACCACACAGGTTGCACCGCATAGATTGCATCACATAGTTTGGACCACATACCTTGCACACCATCGATTGCACCGCGTACAGTACACCACATGGATTGCACAACATAGTTTGCACCACATAGAGTGCACAACATGGATTGCACCAAGTATATTCTCCTTCCTAAGAAGGAGTTCGGATCTACCTCCGCCCCGAGGCCAGGATTATCGTCGCCCCCTGGGTGTGTGTGCAATTTCTTGCATGCATGAAAGCACACCGTTCCAGCCAGGCCAGTATCGACTTGCTCCGTCATCTTTTGCAGAAGATACTATGCGCGCACACTCTTTTGCCACAATGCATCACGTTGCAATAATTTCTTGTAACAAGCGTGACGAAGTGCCCACGCGCGCGTCGTCGCGCGCGCATGCTGAGCTCCTTCGGACACGGGATGTTTCGCAAGGATTTCCAACATCGAGTGTCTCAAATTCAGATAAAGACACGGCTTAGCAACATTGTTTTCAAACAAGGTCGGCGCGGTATGTGCACCTTTCAAGAAGACTACATCCACATGTTTCTGTCATCATGTTCAACACATGCGACTAAACGGACCTCTCGGGCGCGCATGTCGAAATCATTCGGACGACGCCCTTGCGCGCGTGTTGGGGGGACGCGATCCTTGTCAAATAGTAACATGCTGGCCACTCGCGCTCGTCGGCCGCGCGCGCATGTCGAAAGCCTTGCAAAATTTTCATCACCGACGCGTGGACACCATCATCATCGTCATCGTCGTGATTTGCATCGGCGCCGTCATTGCCCTTGGCGTCGTCATCAGCATCGTCGTCACCAACATCGCTACACTTTCAATCGTGTCTGCCGTTGCCGACGTCGCCATGATACCACACCCGCCCGAGCCACCGACTCGCACTGAGAAGCCCGCGCGTCAGCTCGGCCTGCGAGACGCGTCGGTCAGCCAGCCAGCGCCAAGCAGTCATCGCTGTCACCGCCGCATGGCTTTTGTAAACCAAGTTGTGGGTGGGTGAGTGGGATTGTTGCGGTAGCACTGGAGTTGGCAATTCCAAGTTCGGCAGGGTGAATCGCACGACGTAGATTTGCACCACATGGAGTGCACACCATAGGTTGCGCCGCATAGATTGTACAATTTAGGCTGCACCGCATAGCTTACAAAACATATGATGGTACGCATGAGTTGCACCACGTAGGACGCGCACCATAGATTGCTAGTAACACACTGTTCGGGGTCCATGTTGGCTGACATTTGTCTAGGGGGTTAGGGGGATGTTCACGGCGGCGCCCCTCTTGGGGGCCTTGAGGGCGGCTCTCGGGCGCTCCTTGGAGGCGGAGCGGCCACGACCACGTGGGCAGCGAGGCCGTCGTCGCCGTCGTGGTGGTGGTGGTCGTCGTCTGCGCTGTCGATTCGCGCGCGGCCCCGCAGGCCGCGCTCGGTCTGCTCGCCGTGTGCACGGCCTCTGCTGCCTGGACGGCCCAAGGCGCGGTGGCGCCGGGCGGACGGGGGAGCTTTGCGTAATCGTCGCAGCTGCTTTTCACGAGGACCTTCGCCCTTCCTTGTCCCGTTCGATCTCGACCTGCCTGCTCTTCTTTATCCAACGCTGTACAGGCCCCACTACTCTGCCTTGAACAGTCGACCAGGTATGAAGATAGTCGTCCTCAGGGGGCAATGGGGGGGTCACGCTCGAGGAAGGGGCGGGCATCGACCCCCAAACGCCCATGGCCCTTCCTGGGCGTCTCTTCGCCGCCACGGCCAGGCGCGGGTGGGAAGGTGGGCAAGGATGGACCCTGACACGGGGGGTCTCAGGGGGGAAAGCATCGACCGGTCATCGCCCGTGCATCGCCGATTGAAGGCCTGATTGCCCACTCAGGAGCGTGCGGTTTCGCTATCCTGGGCCTCTCGTCGAGCTATCGGCGATGTACAGCCGAGGCCAGGTCGAATCTTCCCCCTCTGGGCCAGTCCCCCCCCCTTCGGCTCCCCTCACCCATCGTCCACGGACCGGGCGGGCAGGTTCAGGGCAGGGGAGTCGCTCCAGGGCGTTCCGAAGCGCACTCCGAGCGCTCCCGAGCTCTCTGGAGCCGCCGCCAGGCCCGATGTGTTCGTCCTCTGGGCCTGCCAGCTCTCAGAGACGGAGGTTTCTGTCTGCCCGTCCTACCTTCGTATTCAAAATGTAGGTGATGCCCCAAGCCGGGGTCATACACAGATGGCTGGCGAAGGCAGTTCCAGCTGCCCTCAACGGCACCCCCACGCAGCCTCCTGCGCCTCAGGGGCGCTCCACGCCCCCTATTCGGGGTGTCGAGGCCTTGCGCCGGCAACGTTGGAGCCCTCGGCGACCCTTGGGACACCTTCGTCCACGTACTGGAGTGTGCGTGTGTGTGGACAAACGCACGATACATCTCACTGACGCAATGCGGATCATCAATGAGCACGAGCATGTGTGAGGAAGAGAGCGTAAGAGGAGGAACAGGAGCCGGAGGAGGAGGAGGAGGAGGAGGAGGAGGAGGAGGAGGAGGAGGAGGAGGAGGAGGAGGAGGGAGGAGGGGAGGAGGAGGAGGAGGAGGAGGAGGAGGAGTACGAGGAGGAGGACGAGGAGGAGGAAGAGGACGAGGAGGAGGTTGTGAAAGCCGGGGCCTGCTACAGCTGGGGTTATGTTGAAACAGGCAAAGTAGGGTTTGAGATATGATCTAAGGTAGGTTTCAAAGTAGGGGCGGAGCTTTGAAGTATGTTTCAAAGTAGCATCGCAAGTAGGGCGAAATTTGGCCCTGATGTAGTTTACGAACATAAGAAGTACTTTCGAAATACTGCGCGTCAAACAACAGACGCATTCTCGAGTAGTTCAGCCTCCGCAAACAAAGTGCATAACCCTTGAAGAAGTAGTAGCCAGCGCAACAACGTATTTGGCTTATGAAGCATTGTCGCGGCCCGACATTTCGCAGAACGTGCGCTCTTGTCGACCTAGTAGTGTTTGATCCATTATATTGGCGTTCGTCGTTGTAGTGGTTGTAACAATACCACTGGCCTCCGTTGCGGAGGTAGTAGTGGTAGCAGTCGTAGCTGATACTAACAGGGGTAGTCGTAGTGACCGCCAGTGGTGGTAGTAGTGGTGGTCATAGGAACGGCGACTGTTGTGGTCGCATCAAAGGGATACGCTTCCCCTTCGGCGTCAAACCGCGGCGGGGATGGCGCAAACGGTTCAACTGAACAAACTTCTGCCGCAGTGTTACTTCATCCTTAGGCCTCTCCTCCACATCTTAGCCTCATCTTTACCCCATTATCATTCTCCCTCCCTCCCTCCTCCTCTCCCGCATCCTGGCGTCCTCATCCGACGCGAAGGATGGGAAACGTGAGGGGGAGCAAGGCGAAAACACGGAGGGGGAGGAGGGGAAGGGGGAGGAGGGAAATGAGGATGGCGCGAGGTAAGAATGGGACGATTCGGATGGGTTGGAAGAGGAGCAAGCGAAAGGGGGAGCGAGGAGGAGGTTTCTTATTGAAACGCGGTGCATCTTGGAACTCTTGTCGGGGCCCTCTCTTGCGTTGAAACCCCGTCGCCCCCGTAAGTCATCGTCAACATCATCATCATCAACATCACCCCGTAACCATTTTGGCTCAAACGTTTCGGGCCCCGATGCTCGGCCACGAGGGCTGGGGGGCCGTCGCCGGGGACGACAGCTCCAGCGAGGATGGCGGCTGGGGGCAGGTCGCCGTGAGCCCCCTGCCCTCCGACGGAGGCGTGGGCTCGCAGGGCGAGCCCGACGAGGTCGCCTTGCCTGGCGAGGACGAGCCTGGCGGGGAGCCCGCGCCTTCGGCCCAGGGGCGGCCCGACGTGTTCGCAGACGGGTTGACGGTAGACGAGCTCGAACGAGCTGGATCGGCCAAGAAAAGGTCGGTCGCGTGGGCGCCAGGGAGGCTGGCCTTGAAGCAGGCTCGCCAGCAGTTGTGGCGTCTGAGTGCTGGCGTTCCCGCGCCGCTCCCTGCAGGTGAGGGTGGTGATGCCGAGCTCGCACTCCCTGCAGGTGTTGGTGGTGATGCCGATCTCCCCCTCGCACTCCCTGCAGGTGTTGGTGATGCCGATCTCCCCCTCGCGCCCGCTGCAGGTGTTGGTGGTGATGCCGATCTCCCTCTCGCGCCCGCCGCAGGACATGGCGCACGGCAAAAGCAGTTGGAGCTGGATGCCGCGCTGTGCGTTGAGAGGCTGAGTGCGCTCGCCGTGGCTCGCGTTGGCTCATCGGCCGATGCCCCGCAGGAGACCTTGGGCCGTGCTGGTGAGTACCTCCTGAAAGAGAAGACGTCGATCCTCCCTTGGCTTGTTGAATGTCGTGATGTATTTGGCATGCGTCGCGAGAGCGCTGAGAAGTTTTTGTGCGCCACGGCCTGCGCATCGTTGCTGGTGCAGTGGCGCGATGCCCGCTCAATGTGTTCCAGCCTTGTTCGAGAAGTTCGAGAGCTGGGTGGCAGGGCCGTCACCTTTACAGAGCTGTTGAGGTACGACGAGACACCAATGTACACGAGGCTCACTGACCGTGATCATCTTCCTGCACCTGCTGCGCACGGATTTCCTGCAGATGGCGTTGCTCGGCCGAAGCAGCTGGTGCCCATCAGCTGCACTTGCGAGACGTCCCACGTGGCCGAGCTCCTCAACACGCAAAGGATGTATGCGATGTTGTTTGACATTCCTGACCACGGCATGGTCTCAGTTCAGCTGCCAATGGATTGTCATATGCAGTCGATGGCCCGAACGACCGCGGAGGCGCTGTGCGAGTCCTTAGATCGGAGCTCCCCGATGATGGCCGACATCGCGGCTTTGTTCGAGCGCGTGCAGAGAGTCGTCACCACCGACGGGGCTAGCTCCATCAAACGATACGAGCGGAACTTGGCCAGAGAGCGAGTGGCCACGAGTAGCACTTTGAAAATATTGTGCGAGATACATCGGGTGTACGGCTTCTACAAAACTGTTTTTCTTCAGGTCAAGTTGCGCACCAGCATGATGGCCCATGTTGCGAGAGCACTCTGCGCGTCGGATGCGATGCGACAGTTTCGCTCGGCATTGCGGCGCGTGATCTCGAGGGACTTGGCGTGCCGCGAGAACACCAGGCCCTCGCGCGCAGACATTGAGCACAACACTATGGTACTGGATACGTTCCTCGAGCCCACCTCGGGCAGCATGCGGCTGAGGCGATCCGTCATCGCTTCCTTGGCCAACGGTCGCTGGTCCGACACGAGCATCGTGGAGCACTGCTGCCAGGGATGTTGCGAATCCAGAGAGGATTGCGTTTCAAGATTTATCACATTGTTCGTTGCCTGCGTGGCCAATGGCAAACCGCCTGTGTGGCCCAGCAGTCGATGGACAGGCTTCGACGAGTGCGCGGACTGGTTAGGATTGCTGGAGCTTTGCCACGGGCTCCTCACGCGAACCTTCGTCGAGTGGACTGGCTTCGGCAAGACTGACCTCGGGGATCCGATGGAGCGCAATTTCGCCCTCGGCATGTTAGAGAACTTGAACGGCGCTGGGGGGCATCTCGCAGATCTCGAGCTTGACGAGGATGAGGACGATGCACGCGCAGGCGCTCGCGGGCAGCAAGAGGGTGGGAAGGCAGCACAGCAGAATGAGATCACCCTCGACGATCGGCGGAAGGACGAGTCGAAGCACCGTGCGTATGGGGTCAGGTGGTTGTGGAAGTGTTTCCCCCCAAGTCCACCTCATTCTCATTCGTCGCATCTTGAAGCCTCTTCTTCAAATCATGAACTCGTACTTGAAGTCGGCAGGCGAGGTCCATCGCAGGCGCATTGACTTCCGCAACTTGCAGCACAGGTCTGGCATCGGCCCCGATATGATTGTGGACGCCTGCCCTTTGATCGCAGCAAGCTGCCGCGTGAACGAGACGGACTTTTTCGACTGCCTGCGGACGGTGATGTGCGCCTCGCGCGAGTGGGGTATCGTGCCAGTCAGCTGCCGCATTTCAACGTTGCGCACGCGCGCGTTCTTGATGCTGAGCCAGCTGGGGTGCATGTGCAACGGCCTCAGGGAACTCCACCAAGGCTGCCCGTTCAAGCTCTTCCGTTTGATTGGGGAGCCTGAGTTGGCAACGGAGATCGTGAACGATTGCGAGGCTCTCAAGGACGGTTGGAGCAAGGCCATCATCAGCAAGTACGCGGCTGAGAGCCCCGATGGTCTGGCTTCCGTTGAATGCATCGGGGAGTTGCTTCACGTCGCGTCGGTCACGCCTCGGGAGACGGCGAGCGTGGAGGCCAGCCACGCAACGATCAGGAGGGCTCTGGTTGGGCTGAGCGTGCAGACGCACGCCTTGCACATCAAGCGCCTCTCAGCCCAGAGGATCTGCCAGGTCTTCAGGAAGAAGGGCCGACGACTGCGGAGTGGCTTTGTTCGACCAGCACGGAAGACGGCACTGAAGGCCATTACTCCATCGAGCGGCGCCGAGGGCCCGAAGAGACGCAGCAGAGGGCACGGTGGCGCTTGGCGAG